CTCACTATCTACTCACACGCATTACCTCCCCCTCTTTTATATACCAGCCTACCCTATCTAGCAAATACTAGAGCATTCGCCAAGATACGGGATAGTTCTAGAAACAAGAGAGCGTGAGAATTGTCACGTGATCTCGATGACGCAACAATACTAACAATTTTATGTTGATTACTTTCTTGACTGTACTATAGGTCTACGTGTGATTTATTCACAAGTTACAGCTTTCACTTTAAGGAAAAGTATATATTTTTTAGAAAGGTATGACGTTTTGATCGCTTTTACAGCAAGGAAGAGTATTTTTAAACAGGAATAACTTTTCGATCACCGGTGCGATAATCCTCAAGTGATCAAGAAGTCGTACCTGTTTGAAAAAATACTCTTCCTTACTGTAAGAGCTATAACTTGTAAGAATATACTTATAATCGCTAAGTAAAATCTAAGGAAATTGTGCGTATTATTTTTATAACGTTGTTCTTTTGTTGGGTAAATTCTTTTAAATTATTTGACTCAAATAATTCAATGTCCAGGTCACGTAATGATAACAAATTAGTTAATTTCTTTCCTAATGTTTCTACAAACTTGTACACTATTGTAACTTGTAGGTTTAAGTTTACAAATGACGTTCAAAACAAAATTAAATACCTCGCTAATGTTACCAAGACCAACATAAAAATAAACTTTTTTTTTGTACAATTTAACAGCTAATCAATGGAGTAACTAAATATACGCAGTAACCAATACTGGTTCAAATACTTTACTAAACTGACTGACTGGCAGTCTAACGACTGTAAACATCTGACTCACTACTTCAACGATTCACTGCTCACTAATTGACTGGCTCATTAGTATTTATATATTATGTTCAACTTCTAGATAGTCGTCTGAATTAATATATTCTTAACATTAAATTTAGAACATTCTTGGTATTTCAGGCCTCTTTTTTATACTTTTCGATCTAAATGTCAGACGCCCTCTGGCTCAATTTTATTTATTTACTTTGTGAATTCTCACTTTTGGCTACATTTATATTAACCTATAGCAGCATGCTACAGTAAGTTGCATTAATTGTGAACATAATGACTAAAAATTATCTAATCCTTTAATTTACAATAAAATATCCAAATACTAAAATTTTATTATTGTAAGTAAATGTACAATATTGTTATTTTTATGGTAACGGCGTACCTGCACTTAATTTTGTTTTAATGCAGAACGCCATATCGTCTCTGTTTCGAAGGGATACCACCTTACGCTGTTAAACACATTCCGGAACTTCTTTATTTTGCACTACGCCAGTGTTTATAGAATGGAAAAGCAATAGCAATTCACCTGATGACGATCATGTTAATTTTGAAATGATATATATACATCCTGACATTTCTATACATGGTTATAACCCACTCACTCGTGAATACTACATGCACTAATTAGTATAGCTGTATCATTGGTACTATCAAAATCATGAAAAGTTTTGTTAGACCTTGGGACGTGGGAAACAGCGAATATTATCAGGGCTGAACATCAGCTTAAAATATAGAAATTGTTTTTCGAAGAATGAATTAAATTCAAATTTAAGTGTACTGTTACATAAAACTAAAAGTATGTATGAAACAATTATTCTCAAAAGTAATACTAATAACAGCTACTTGTACTGGGTCCATTATTCGTTAACCTAACTGACATTTAATTCTGACTGCCACATACTGTGATATAGCCCAAAAATTGAAAAAACGTTTGTGTGTTAAAAAGTTTTTGCATGATGTTTATTTAAATTGTATAGTTCTTATTTCAATGAAAATAATCAGTTTTCTTAAATGTATCACTACAGTTTATTTTGTTTTGTATTTTCTTAAGTAAAAATCAAAAGATGTATATATTTCTACCTTGTAACCTAGAGAAAATCAATTTATAACTACAGTATACTCCACTAAAACAAATAATTATTCTTAGCCTGCTAATTGACCTTATAAGGAGCATAAAATGAACAACAGAATGGATCAGAATTTCATAACTTAAAATCTTAATACATGTGAAGATTACACATAAAAACAGTGTAAGATAACCCCCACCCCCAATTTTGAAGCAGCTTCTGCTAAAATGTATGAGTTATTTTTAGTTTAATTTGAATCACCATTATGATTTTCACAATAAGAATTAGTCATAATTGCTAAAATAACATGGAATTGATACTAACCTTAAAGGTAGAAGTTGTATAGTTTAAATCTAGCTGCACATTTCACACTGGAAACAGAATAATTAATAATTGCTTTATTTATCTAAAAAATTAATTATTTATACATCTACCTTTCAGTTGTACTTTTTTCTATTATTAAACAAGTTATTTATTATGATATTTTTCTGGGTTTTCTAGCTTTGAGTTTGACAAAAAAAGAGTCTGGATATAAATGTACAAAAACACAATGAAACAACCTTTGTTCAAACACAGACACAAATTTGTGTATTTTACGTGTATAGGACAAATGATAACACCTTTCCTTTATAGTTATCTCTCCAAACTCTAAAATACTTATAAATATGTTAAGTAATTAATACTTGGTTTATTTATCTAAAAAAGTAATTATTTATACATTTGCCTTTCAGTTGTACTTTTTTCTGTCTGTCCGTTTATTTCTTAGCTTAAAACTCAGTCAGTTTAAAAATTCCTCATCACTTCATAAAATATCCTGCCGATTCTTTCCTTAAAAAGTTGATCTACCTAATAATTTTTGCAGTGGTATAATTTCAGGTAAATTATTTTAAGCTTTTGTTTCTTACAATATGGTGTCTAAAAATGATGATTAATTTCAAAATAGTTAACATGCAAAAGTATAACTTAAAGAAATTTTAAACATTAATATGAAGAAAAAGATTAATAAGTTGCAGAAAAAGTTTTCTTTTTTAATATCAGAAACCAAGTATACCTGATCTGAAGATGGCATAATAGACAAAACTGAATAAATCTTGTGAGATCATAAGCAAAACAACGGTGAAGAAAAAGAAGAAAGATTTCAACCAGAGGCATTATAAAAGTAAGTACATATGTATTTACAGTATGTTATTTTTAGTGTTCAAAGAATTAATATTGTCAGCCAATTTGCATAGTTGTAAAGAAATAATATTACTTGCCAAAGTTGAATGTTTTTTAAGCTTTAATTACATGTATATGTAGGTGCACACCATCATTATATTGTGTGGTTGAAAACAATTCTGCATTATGAAACAAAATTGCATAACAAAATTTATTGTTAAACAGGGTTATAATTGTGTGTTCAGCATTTCAAAGAAATGAGGGTTACAACAAAAACATGGGTGGTGTTGGGAAATGATTTGATAAAAAAAATAAAGGTAACTGATACAGTCTTAGAGAGTTTAATGAATATGTTATCATAATTTTTCTTTTATATTTAAATATTTCTATTTCTATTTTTTTTTTATTTCTGTATCCTATGTATGGTAAAATAAAATCTTTAGAATTCTTTTTAGTGTGTGGCTACCTATCTATCAGTATTTTTCAAATTTTTGAAACATTGATATATTGAATTTGGAGTTATGAATGTAAATTTAGTAAAAAGATGCTTAGTGTTTATAAAAAATGTTTATTTGAAATTTTGACTTACTTCAGCTTTAACCTGTTTTATAATATGAAGTTTTTAATAATATTGCTAGATAACCAAGAAAAAGTAAGATAAATATGTAAACATGGTAAATGAATATGTGCATTTTATCATAGACTAAATATTGTTTTTGTATCTTTTTTTATAGCTTAGGGATGAAATTTTAAAAAAATTATTACTTTTACTTTTCAGATATAAATATAAATACATACAGTTATAAACTCCTGTTAAAATGTCAAGTTACCAAAGCAGTGGTTATGCCACTGGTGGTGGCCCTCCATCTGTGCAATGCTCCAGTAAGGTGGAACTTCATATCAGGTGTCGTCAGCTTCGTGACATGGATGTGTTGTCAAAGTCAGATCCTATGGTAGTGTTGTTAGTACAACAAGGTGGAAGAATGATTGAGGTAGAACAGTTTTACAGTGCAAGACCATGCATTCTTATCTGTCATGTCCAGTGAGAATCTTTCAGATGTTGAGACCAAATCTGCATGTCAAATTTCAAAATTTAAGTAAAAATAGTAATTATTAACTATATTTCAACAGTGTTTACTCAAAAATATTTTAAGAATTGATATTTTGTCATTTTATAACATTTATGTAGTGTAGTTCTCAAAGAAAAATGTACTGAGTGTCCAAACTTGTAGTTGTGCACAGCTCCAAGGAGTCTTGCTTGTAAACAATACACTTATAGATTTTTTAAACACTTCTCTGCACATCACGAAGCATAGGTTTTTATTTGCTGGAGAATGTAATTAATGAAGCATTTTTTTTCTCTGTCTGAAGATTTAATATTACAGGCCTCTTCACATCACTTGCTGTGAGGTCATTAAAGGATGGGAACAACAATTAATGAAAAATAGCTTTAAAAGTAACTACAGGTAAAGTTTAAGTACCATTTGATAGAGTAGACTGTAAACTCTTATGTCAATGTAAAGTGAACAGAAAGGGGGCATAAGTAATTTATGGTTTCATGAGAAAGTTAGTAGATGTAGTTCCTACTGAGAAGAACGATGGAATTTAGTGTGAAGTTTAGAAGACTTAGAGACAAACTACAGGGAGTATTTTTATAGTTTCTTTAGACATTGTTTTCATTCTTGAAAATATTTTTTTAAGTTGTATTTGTTTGAAAGTTACAGCAATTTTCTTCCATGACAACTTCAGATAGCCCTTGAATAGCATTGCATGAAATTTAACAAACAAACAACAAAGCTTGAAATTGCAATATTTCCTGGTTGAAATTGTTTATTTTGTATTACATTTTCTTGGGTATGGTTAGTTGCTAAAACTGTATTTAGTTTTTTATTTACATTCTGTAGAAGTTAAAGTTCAGGGTTTCAATTTTTTAAGTCAGATCAAACTGTATAATAATGATTATTAATAAATTTCATAATCCTGTTAAGTGTATTTTAATGTATTAATATAATTATTACTATATTGTTTATAAAAGTTAATATTGCTTGCCAAAAAAATGTGAATAGCTTATCTATCGGAACCAGTTGATCACATTATATGTGTATATACTTATATTAAAGCAGTTCATAGATATAGTATTAGTTTTAACTAAATATACACTATTTATTTATACATCTTTAAAGTATCTAATAATTAAAATCCTCTGCTTTTTATTCTCAGCACAACCGCACAGAAAATGTAAAGAATAGTTTAAATCCAGATTTTGGAAAGGCTATTCAGATAGATTATTTTTTTGAAGAAGTTCAGAATTTGAGGTTTGAAGTATATGATATTGATAACAGTACAGCAACACTTAATGATGATGATTTTTTGGGTGGAATGGATTGCACTTTGGGTCAGGTGAGATTTTACTTATGCATTTAGGTTACTTATGGCACTGGAGATTTTCATTATGGTATCTTCTTTTGAGTATTTTATGTGATGAAATGTAAAACTACAATTGCTATAGAATGTTTTAATTATGTTATGAATGACTAAAGTATAGTTTTTTTAACATAACGTTAGGATTTTTTTTCTGTATTGAAAATATAAATCATATACTAAAATGCCGCAGGAAGTTATTCACTAGGTTAGTCCACAAGCTTTGATATACCTTACCAAGTTATAATAAAGTAGTTGTGTTTGAATCAGGAATAAATGTTTGAAAATTTCACATATTATTTTTCATACTGGTTTTACAACTGGCAGTGATTCTTTTAGATCCATAACTAAAAAAGTGGTGCATGTCATATAAGTTTTATGTATGGAATAACCATAAAATTTCTGAAATTAAGTACACGAAGTGAATACAAAGCTTATAAATATACAAGTGTTTTTGCACTAAAAATAATATGAAATGTAGGTAAAAAAAATTTTTTGGGATTTGTTGATAATGTGGTTAAAAAAATTGGTTAAACAGTGACATACAGCAACAAAAATCTAAGTTTTCTTCATTGTGTAACGACATGAAAGTGACAAAAAATTGTGTGTGGAAATTCATTAGGGACTATTTTATAGCTGAAACATTATCTTGTTTATTATTTAAATGTTGATATCTAAGTTTGCAAGGGGACTTGTGTATTGCTCTTTTGAATGATTTTTATTTATAAATATTGTTATTTAGGTGGTGAAATTTTTTATTTTATTTTTTCATTATACCCATTCCCTAATGCTTGCATACAGATATCTTACTGTATATTAAAATAGTACAAAAAAGTGTCAATAACTTGAACATGTGTCTCATTCTCAACATGGTATATAGTTTTGTGCATATGAAACTTTTGTGAATGATGATACAATAAGATATATTTCCAATATTTTGTTAGATTGTAGCTGGTAGCCCTTTTACTAGACCACTAAATTCAAGATCTGGACATCACCTAGGAAAAAGCACCATTACAGTAAGTGTGATAAAGTTGACTTGAACCAAGAATTAATTGTTTATATGGATTTTATTGAACTAGTTCTCTATAAAAAAAAACAACATTTTTTGGTGGAAAAGATAGATGTTATTAGAGGACCAGGCGTTCTTGTAATCATGGCAGTACATCATAGGTGAAAAATGTACATAAGTTGTTTGTTTGGGTCATAATGTGTAGGTACTGCTTGTATAGTAAAATGAAAGTGAATTTGAATACAAATTAGTTTATAAAGTTAATATTGTAATAAAAATGGATATGAAAACAGTAGTACAAGTGTAATGGATTATTGCAAACTTTTAATTTAATTTTTTATGTACTTATTAAATTACTATATTTGCCATACATTGTGCATCAACAGAAAAATTAATTGAACTCAGAAATATAACTTGCCAGAATCATTATCTCATAATTATATTTTACTCTATATTATATGCTGTAAGACAAAAATATATTATTATTATTACCAATAACTAGTTGAATGTACATTTGTGTTGTAGATACCCTTAACTTTCACAGGTTTATATTAGGGCATATTATTAAACTGCTTTCCTGCATCAAATACAGTTTGCAATATACTGTGACCAATTTTTTTTACCACATGTAGAATGTTTTTCATAAAATGTATTATGAATTTTTACATACACACTTTTATAGCTGTTGCTTGTGCAAGTATTTGGTTTGTCTATTTACTATATAGACTAGCTAAAATGTAAGAAGTGTTGGTTCATGCAAAATGTGCCTATTTATGCTTATTTAACGCTGCTTTTTACAAGCACTCAAGTGCTTGCTTGAAAAATTTGCTGAACCCTTTCGCCCTGGGTATCCTTTACTACACGACAGAAAGTTTTAGTGTCTTTCATTCAAAATTTTATTAAACTATTTTTTGTTTGTGTTTTACCAATTAATATGGCATAAACACTTGGATAATAATCCATATTTGAATAGTATGTAAGTTTAAAGTTCTTAATTCTATAAGGAAATATTAAAACAATCCTGAACTTCTCCTAGTGTGACACTTGTGACATATTTTCTCTACGCATCTTGTCTTCTCTATTTTATCCACCACCCCTTTAAAAAGTACAAAATTAAATGTAAATTACTCTCTATATAATCATCACTGCTCAAATGAACCATAATTTTTATAGCTTTCAATTTTGTTTGGTTACAGAGCTGTAAATAAAAAATCACCCCCCCCCCTTCTGCCACACCTACCTGTCACATCCTCTCTTTCAGACTTTGTTAATAGTTCTCTTTTACATTTAATTATATATTACTTATAACCAATAGAAAGTCAAGATTTTCATCTATCAAATGACATATTGTATAATGTTGTGTTCTGAACAGATAAGCATCAATTTCACTCAGAGTACAAGCTTCATTCCCATGAGAAAGTTAACGACTAGCTTGGATGAATTTGTAACAGTTGTTATCGTGTAGTAGAAAGCCAGAAAAATGTTGAAAGTTAGGAGAAATTGTCTGCTTTTTGCATGTTATTAGTCTATGTTCTGTGGTGCATTATTTAATTAAATAAAAATTATTTAATGCACTACTACCATTAGTATAAAATATATAGGCTTAATTATAATCAACAATCGCAAGAAAAAAGAAGAGTGGGTAAGTAATTTATTTCTTGTTTTTAATGTTTATTCTTTATTTATTATTATAAAAGTAACTAAAATGTAAAAATAGGGACCTTTTTAGGTTAGTTAAGATTAGATTAGGTAAAATAAATAATAATGTAATAAAAATGTTTCATGAGGTACGCATGTGAACAGTATGTAGATAATGTAATTCGATAGCATAACATGGGCTGCACATGCCCCAAGTGATTTACAACTTATTATGGTGCGGATAGTAGTTAGACAATGAAAAAATAAAATTTAATTATAAATAGATGTATACTGTTATGAGCTTAAAGCTACTTGGGATAAAGTAATCTAGCTTCATGTTACAATTAGAAAGAAAAAAAGGATAATTTAGATTTATATTGATTTTTTTTTTTTTGGTGGTTACGAGGTTGGTCAAATTGCCTGATCCTGTTTTGAGTTATGGTAGAGAAAATAACAGATCAAGTATAAAGTTTTACTGTAAAAGAACATTTGAAATGGATTTAGGAGGTTTTAGGGATCACACAAAGGAAATTTGAAATGAGGAAA